TTCTGTTGTGGCACTATAGGATCAGCATTGAACTAGAATCACAAGGTTGGCAATTCAAACTCACAAGCTTCTCCTGAGTAACCCAGTACAGGGTAGCTGTGAGTAGGAACCAACTCAACAGCAACAACATATATAATATGTATATATATTTGCTATATATGTGTATAGGAGTTCTGGTGTGGCACTGTGAGTTAATGCATCAGACTTCAAAGCCATTTGAACTGCAAGGTCAGCAGTCAAGCTCACCAGTTACTCCTTGGAAACCCTATACAGGGTCACTATGGGTTGGAATTGACTCAACAGCACTTAACAACAACAACAACATATATGTATATGCATAAAGTCCTGGAGTGGTGCTATAGGATAAACACTCAACCTAAAGGTCAGTTTGAATCACAAGGTTGAAAGTTATAAAACTTAAAAATACATATATTTTTATAAGGCATCCTAGTGTGGCACAGCAGGATAAGGATTGGACTGCTAACCACAAGGTCCGTGGTTCAAACCCGCCAGTCATCCCTTGGAAAGACTATATAGGGTTGCTATAAGTTGGAGTCAAATCCATGACACTTAAAAACATTACAAATATATGTTTTTATAAATATACAGGAGGACTTCAAAGAGTTCAGGCAAAAATTCTATTATCTTTCTATTTAATGTTCCCAGGAAATCTTGAAGCCCACGCATACATATATATTCTTTATATTTGTTTTTTCAAAGTGTTTTTTAGAAAACAAAAAATAAAATTGAACAATACAAGCTAATTTTCAACATGGCTAAATTAAAACTGTAAGAAAGGGTAAATTTAGGTTTATTAAATTGTCTTTCCCAAAACCACATATTATTTGTACATGCAGGACTTATATTTCAGTAACCAATTTTTTCCCAAAGACCTTCATCACTTTGTTAACTGTTTTTGGTAAATTCGTTTGTATTCTACATTATTTTAATTCTAAACAAACTTAATACCAAATTTCAAATTAGAAAATTGAGTATTATGCTATATTAACAGAATATTAATCTTTCTAAGAATGACTGTAAATTTTTTAGCTACTGTAAAACTGGAACAGAACAACTCTTCTCTAATAACAAGATCCAAGAAAGGTATGTAATCATTTTTAAAGTTCTGATATAAGTATAGATAATATTTGTCTATTTATTAAAATTACAAAAATGATCATAGATTCTTTAAAACTAAAATTGAGCAATAGAATTTAATAAATATTATATGAGTGCATTCTTTTAAAATCAACAATAAGACAAAATATTATTTTAAATCAATAGACCAATAAACACTACAAAAAAAAAAAGTTGTAACAAGCACATTTTCAGTACTTGTGTAAAATGTAATCTTCGCTTGTTTGCCTTATATGCGTATACAATTTAGGGGTTTGGAGCTTAACTCTCTGTGTATATATGATTTTGTTCAATATATTTTTTTATGTACTATTCTTTATAGCTGGTTATGTATGTATATACATGTAGCTATGTAAATAGTTCAATTAATTTCCATTTTTTAATTCAAATCATTTTCAGATAGTGATTCATCATCTTTCATAGGAGTTCATTGCAATAGTTGTCCAGAGACCTGGTTTATATATTCCAACAATTGTTATTACATTAGTGTTGAAAGGAAAACATGGAATGAGAGTTGGATGGACTGTGCTTCTAAGAAATCTAATCTGCTTTATATAGAAAATGAAGATGAAATGGTAAGATTTGTAAATGTTTTAAACCTTTATTCTAAAGCTCTTTTCAGTCATTATTATGTTTGTAGGCCTTGTACATATTTTAGTTAATGAGGGTTAAGTAAAAAATATTGCTACTAGTTTATACATACTCAGATTTATTCCAAATATAATGTAGAATATTTAGACAAATATAATGTATCTAAATCTCTCTGAGATCAGTGGATGGATGCAGATAAGCTCTCTCAATAATGCACTTGTCTTAGTCTTGTTTAAGTGCCTTAAAAGAAAACATGTTCTAGTCAAACCATTGGGTTTGACAAACCAGTGGATCTCCTATACCAGATAAATTCAAGGCAGAGAGGTAAGCTCAGAAGGTTATGGAGACTAAGTTAATAGATTTTCTCAGAAGACACAAAATGTTCATGGGAACTTATTATGAAGATGTTTTAAGGAATTTGAACACTGCATTGGTTAGAAAGGGGCCAAGAAAATTGTATTGAGAAAAGTTTTTCATTCCAATAATTCATGTACTCATCCTTCTTGAGCAACAAGACTGTCCTGCAAGAATGTTTCTGGAAAACAGTACACTATCCATCTTACCATTCTGATCATGCCCTTTTGAACTATTTTTCTTTCCAAAATCAAAGAACATGTAAAATAAAAATAATTTGAGTTCCTTGAGAATGCCAAATTTGCCACTTTGATGTAGTAAAAATTGAAGGATACAAAAATATGCCCAGTTCTGCATCACCCCAGAAGAAAGCCTTGAAGATCTGCTTCTCTAAAGATTCCAAATAGAAAATGTTATGTCATTCACTAGTAATCTGTAACACATGAGAATGCTATGAGTCCTTATCCACTCAAGGGCAATGAGTATAGTGGTTTTGGGTTTTTCTTTTTTGTGTGTATGTATTTACAAATAACTATAAGAAATAGATGTTTCCAGACCCTTGTGAGCCAGCTCCTGTGTCTGCTCTCAATACTCCTGTCTCCTCCCTAAAGCACTATTCTGATTTTAATATTATAGATTAATTTTGTGTTTTGAACTTTGTGACTTGGCATCAATCTTGCCCTGAATCTCGGAGATTCTCGTCACAGAAGAAAACTCCACTCCAGCTCATCTTTATTGGTGGTAGTTTGTCCAGACCTCTCTGCTCACTTCTCTCACCTCTTTCTCTTGTAAAATAAAAGGTAAAGTGGATCATATCTTAGGAAAGTTCCCACCACTTAGAATCAGGGATGTGATCTGAATCTGGACTTTACAAATGTAAACCCCTTATAACTGATTGACTAATCACATCACATGTGATTATTACATCAATTCATAACAATCAAATTTCATCATCACAGCACAGGGAATCATGGCCCAACCAAGTGGACACATATTCTGGGGATACAATTCAATGTCTGGCATTGCCCAAATGAATGCTATATGGAACATAATTTTATAATGACCTTATTTTCAGCAATGTTCACTGTACAGTCAGGGTTCTGCCAGAGATACAGAAGCAGTAATATGTGATTTCTCTTGGGCTACTTTTAATATTTTGTTTTATTGTGGTGAATATGTAACAAAATATTTGCCATTTCAACATTCTTCACATGTACTCTCAGTAACATCAGTTATGTTTGTTATGTTGTTCAACCATAATCATTGTCCCTCAGCCTTGTATCCCCCTCTCTCCCTCTCTTCCTCCTGCTTCAATACCCTTATAATTTACAATCATCCTTGGTGTCTATGCACTTCCTATTCTTGAAATGTCACATAAAGTGGAATCCTACAATATTTGTATTTTTCTGACTGATTTCAGTCAGCATTATGTTTTCAAGATGCATCCATGTTGTAGTGTGTTCAGGACTTCATTTCCATTTATGATTGACTATTATTTCATTTTATGTAAGTAAATTTTAATTACATATTCATCTATTGATGGACCTTCAAGTAGTTTGCCTTTTTTATTTTTTGTTTTTTCAATTGTGCTGCAGCGAACATTGGTGTGAATTCCTGTTTATGTTCCTTCTTTTGATTCTTTTGGGTATATATCTAGCAGTGGCATCTTAGTAGGTGTGAAATAATAGTGTATTTTGGTTTTAATTTACAATTTTTAATGACAAATGCCTTTGAACATGTTTTCATGTATTTGTTGGCTACTTGTATTTTGGAAGGTTAATATCTATCCAAGTCGTTGCCAAGTTTTTAGTTGTATTTTTTTGTTACCATTTTGTTTCAAAGTTTGGCTTCCTAGGAGTTTTCCTTGTGACTATAATCAAAGACTTCAAGTTCATAGGACTTCCTTACTCTTGCATTTGATGTGCCTGTTTGTGGGTTGGGAAGTGCTCATAACTTTGCAGGACATTATCAAGTTTCCTTTGGCTTTTATTTGTTTATTGTGAACTCCTGGGTCTCATTTATAAATGTGGCATTTACTTAGTCAGCCAGGAATGTGGAGAGACATAATTTCATCTCTTCTATTGTGTAGTGGTTACGGGCTGTGAACTGCAAGGTCAGCAGTTCAAAACTACCAGCTGCTCCTCAGGAAAAAGATGAGGCTTTCTGCTCCCGTAAAGATTTATAGCCTCGGAAACCCTGTTCAGGGTCAGTATGGGTTGGAACTGACGCAACGGCACTTTACAACAACAACTTTGTACTAAAGAGCTCTGATAGCGTATTAGTTACGAATCAGGCTGCAAACCTCAAGGTCAGCAGTTCGAAACTACCAGCGGTTCCACAGGAGAAAGATGAGGTTTTCTGCTCCCATGTAAAGATTTACAGCCTCAGAAACCCTGTACAGGGTCACTATGAGTCGGAACCAACTCCATGGCACATAATCACCACCACCATTGTACTATCATTTTGGTTGTCTTTCGTTTAATTTATGACTGATAGTCTTTCCACCTCCAAGGAGAGCACAACCTCGGGATAGACAATTTGTGGGTTTGACTCTTTCACTCTCTACCTATTTTAGCCCTAGAGCTGTAAAAAACTGTGGGGTTGTATCCCCACCATTCACCTCTAAACAAATCTTCTCACTGTGGTAGTAATACTGCTGAATTTTGCAGCCTCTATACTGTAAAATCTGAAGTTATTTTAATTGAGTTGCAGAAGGAGAAGGAAATGGGAGCAGCCAGTGCAAGAAGACTATACATATTTGGACTACTCTTCCTTGAATCTCTAGCAGCTTTTCAAGAATAATTATTTTTGAAATTATTGTTCAACTTTCGGTAATTTCCAGAACACTGGAAGTATTGTTCTTGCCAATTTGACCTTTATTTAGTGGTATTAATAAATTTCTAGGTGCCAAGGGTGTGACACTCACTATGTTAGCTGGCAGTGTAGTGGATAACATATTGGACTGCTAATCAAAAAGTCAGCAGTTTGACTCCACCAGCCACTCTACAGGAGAATGAGGAGAGTTTCTGCTCCTATTAAGTTTTGCAGACTTAGAAACCATACTTCGGGTCATTATATGTTAGAATTGTCTTACTGATAACAGGTTTGGGTCTTTCATGATACAATAAGAAAGAATTAACTTCATTTATTGCTACAAAAAGTTATTATAATAGCTTTTATTTTATTTGTCATAAAACTGTTTTCTTGTAGAATTTCATGAACTTATTGAATATTTTGCCATGGATTGGATTTATTGACAAATCAACTTCCTCCTCCAAACAGTAAGATTTTTGAGTACTCCTATATTTTATAACTTGAGAAAAGGCAATATGTGAACAATTATAAAAATACAATAACATCTCTTTATTGGCAAATTGTACAGGAATTGCTCATATTTAGATATAAAATGATGTTGTTGCTAGGTACTGTTGAGTCAGTTCCGACTCATAGCAACCCTGTATACTGTGTCCAAAGACTGGCTGGTGGGTTTGAACTACTGACCTTGAAGTTAGGAGGCCAGTGCTGATCCTACAGCACCATACCAGTACAAGGTCTCCATAAATTATTTAAAAATAAAGCATTTATTTATTAAATTGTTAAGTTATATGGTAGACTCCTGGTGTGGCACTGTAGGATTGGCACTGGACTCAGAATCACAAGTTCAGCAATCCAAATCCACAAGATGCTCCTCAGAAACCCTATACAGGGTTGCAATGAGTCATAACTGACTCAGTGACACTTAACAACATAGTGGTGGTTAAGTACCATCGAGTCAATTCCAACTCAAAAAGACACTGTGTAGGATTTGTAAGGAGGGACTGATGAGTTTGAACTGCTAACCTACTATTCAAACCGACCTAGTGGTCCAGCGCTTATCCTACAAAGCCACACCAGGACTCTTTAATAGTGTATTACTAGTATTTCTAAAAATTATGAGTCATGAATATTATCTTCATATGTAGATATACTTATCTTTACAAATGTCTGTATCAAAAATAATATAATTCTCTGCATTACAGGTTTTCAATAATTCCAGAAGGGGACAAGAGTTGTCCATATTTCAATTTTTACAAAAACAATCCTTCTGTTGTGTCCTGTGTAGAATTAAAAATAGTTGTTTGTAAGAGCCAGGCACTACTGTTGACCTAAGTTTGGTTTAATTTTATTCCCCATTTACAAATATACTTCTAGTTTCTTCAAAAGTCATAAAGTGTGTTTCTTATTATATTTAAATTTTTTATTTATACTAATTGAAAAATTTTATATTTGTATAAACATGACATTTAATGAAATACAACAATGAGTAAAGAAACTGGAGAAAAATTGATGAATTGGAATTATAGTGTTGGAACACAATATTGAAAGTGCCATGGACATTCAGAAGAACAAATAAATCTGTCCTGGAAGAAGTATAGCCAGAATTCTCCTTAGAAACAAGGATGACAATACTTTGTGTCACATACCTTATATATGTCATCAGGAGCGATCAGTACCTGGAAAAGGACATCATACTTGCTAAAGTAAAGGGTCAGTGAAACAGAGGAAAACCCTCAATGAGAAGGGTTGACACGTGGCTGCAAAATTAGTCTCCAACATAAGAATGATGAAGATGGCACAGGACAAGACTATTTTTGTTCTGTTGTGAATAGGGATTCTATGAGTGGGAATCAACTCCAATGTACCTAACAGCAACAACATATAATATTTATATAATATGTATAACAATACAGTCTGCACATAATTCATATGATATAATAAGATATTTGCCACTTCAGCATTTTGTATGTATAATTTAATGACATTAATTATACTCATTTTATTGTGTATTCATCACTGCTATCTATTTCCAAAAATTTCCATTACTCTTTACAGTAGCTCAATGTCCTCTTTTCACACTATGGTTTGAAGCAAGGGCACCTGAGTCTTCAAACTAACATCTTTGCTCTTTAACAATTTAAAAAGGTCTTGTGTAACAGATTGGCCAAATGCATTAAGTCATTTGATTTCTTAACTGCTGCTTCCATGAGTGTTGATGGTTGATCAAAGCAAAATGAAATCTTTGACAGCTTCAAACTTTTCTCCATTTGTTACAATGTTATATATTGGTCCAGTGGTGAGGATTTTTTTTTCTTTACATTGAGGTGCAACCCATACTGAAAGCCATGGTCTTTGATCTTCATCAGTAAGTATTTTAAGTCCTCTTAGCTTTCAGCAAACAAATGTGCATTAGCTGCATATCACAGGTTGTTAATGAGTCTTCCTTCAATCCTGATGCCATGTTCTTCTTTATATAATCCAACTTCTCATGTTGTTTGCTCAGCATACCAATTGAATAATTATGGTGAAAGAATACAGCTTTGGCATACACCTTTCTTGATTTTAAACCATTCAGTGTCCCCTTGTTCTGTCTGAACAGCTCCCTTTTGGTCTATGTATAGGTTCCTTATGAGCACAATAAAATATTTCTGACTCATTCTCCACAATGTTATCCATAGTTTTATGATCCACACAGTTGAAAGCCTTTGCATAGTCAATAAAGCCATTACATAGATATGTTGTTGCTGTAATTGTTAAGTGCTGCAGAGTTGCTTCCAATTCAGAGAAACCCTGCATAGGTTTTCTGAAGAGCAATTGGTGGATTAGAACTGCTGACTTTGTGGTTCAGAGTTCAGATATAGCACCACACCAGCAGTACATTTACATATATATGAATCAGAATTGAGAATCCTGCTGTGGTACTGTTAGATAAGCACTGGACTTGTAATTGCAAAATTGATGGTTCAAACCCACTAGCTGCTCCTTAAAACCCTTATACAGGATCACTATGATTTGGAACCAACTTCACGGTACTTAACAATAATAATTTTTGGAGTCCTGGTGTGGTGCTGTGGGATAATGTTCTGGACTGCAAAGCCATTTTGACCACAAAGTTGGTGGTTCAGGCTCACCAGTAGCTCCTTGGAAACCCTATACAGAGTCTCCATGGGTTGGAATTGACTCAACAGCACATAAAAACAACAAATATGTGTGTGTGTGTGTTTTCTGTTGTTGTTAAGTACTGATATATATATATATCAATTATAGTAATTGTTTCTGCAAATGTTCACATGAACAGTTGATATTTAGAGCTATCTTCTTCTAATACCCACTCTGCATTCCCCTTGCCTTCTGCAAGATCCTCAGCTTGTCGTGGTTCTTTCCTGCTGGTGTGACCGAAACATTCATTCCTGAAGGAAATGGGCCATAATTGATCATGATAGATTGGATCACTGTAATTTACCACTGATTTTAATCACAGGCAAGATAATAATAAAAAATGTCCTAAGGCATCTTCTGGATTCCACACATATTATGTAATATCAATCAAATTTTTCTTTGGTAATTAGAATAAATCACACCACCCAATACAGTAACTCTTTGCTTTGCCTATTGATCAAGAGGCATGAGGAACCAAAAATGGCTAGGGCACATTCTTAAATCTCAGTTAAATTGGAATCAATGCTGTTTCCAGGTGGGAATATTCTTTCCTTTGAAAATAAAGTGACTAGCCCTAAGGAGCATACAGTTGCAGGGACTGGAAGCAAGGATTTTACAAGTGAATCACTAGAAATAATAGTGATTGGTGCCTCTCACTCCCATTTCAACTCCTTGGCTCCTGGAACCATGAATCCTGACTGTTGGAGAAACAACACTATATATTGGACACTGGTATAGAGTTTATACAACCTTCTGGAGAACATTGTCCCAACTCTGCAAGGTATTGCCACCTGATTGATAACATGACTGTGTGTTTAGGAGGTAAATCCATCTTTTGATGGAGAACTTGGTAAGATCAGTGAATTCCATGAACATGGGCCCATTGTCACACTTGATTTGCTGTGAATGTGGCACCTTGATGCAAGGTGATGCTGTGTGGGGTAACAGGACAGTAGCTAACACATTTTATAAGTTCATGGATGGTCATTTTATTAGGAGCACTGTGTACAGGTAAAGCAAGCCCATATCCAGAGCAAGTGTCTCTTCCAGTAAGAACAAAACACTGCCCTTTGTATGACAGAAGTGGTCCAATGTAATCAACCTGCCGCCAGGTTTCTGGCTGATACCCCCAAAGAATGGCCCAATATGTATGATTCAATGTTGGTTTCTGCTGCTAGCAGATTGGGCACTCAACTGTGGCTGTAGCCAAGTTAGCTTTGGTGAGTGGAAGTCCACGTTTCATTCCTGTCACAATGGCCATTTTATTCATGAGTCTATTGGGCTACGGCAGGAATGGCTGGAAAAAGAGGATGATTAGTTTCCACAGAATGTGTCATCTTGTACATTTCATTGTGAAACTCTTCCTCTGCCATGATAACCCTTTGGTGGACATTCACATAAGGCACATATCTTGGCCCATTCCGAGAGCTCTATCCACATAACACTTTCCCACATCTGCCTGTCACCAATTTTCCAATAATGTTTCTTCTAAGACCCTGAGCATGAAGCCTAACTGTTGACCAAGGCCATGAATCAGCATATAGTTACACATCTGGTCATTTCTCCTTCCAAGCATAGTGAACAACCAGTTGTGGTCCATTAGGAGGATTTCGTTTCAGCATTGTCCTTCCAGGAAGTCCCCCAAAGAGCTGTAATACAGCTGGTGTACACTTTCATGTGATACCTGCTTGTCTGTTAACCAAACATGAGTTATCTCTTCCTCCGTCAACTAATCTGAATGAACTCCCCATGAGGCCATAGGTACAGACTGGGAGAGAAAAGACAATGTGACAGGAATGGAGACTATGGGCATTTGTACTACTTCCTGATGCAACTTACTTATTCCTTCAGGTCCTGCATGAGCCTGTTCCTGTATATGCCATTTCCATTTAATGATGGAGTGCTACTGTCCATGTCAAACTTTATGATTCTGTTGCTCAAACATACCCAATTCATAATGGGTAGCACACATTACATGATGACTTGTGACCTATGGATAGACATTCAGTATCTGCTAAAGCCAAGTAACAAGCCAAAAGCTATTTTTCCAAAGGAGAACAGTTATCGGCAGCATATGGTAGGACTCTATTCCAAAATCCTAAAGGTCTGCACTGTGATTCATCAATAGGTGGCTGCCAAAGACTCAAAACTGCATCTGCGTATGCCTCTGACACTTCAAGCACCATTGGATCAGCTGGATCACTTCAACCAAGTGGCAGAGCAGTTTGCCTGGCAGCCTGAACTTGCTGCAGTCTTATCTTGTTCTTGGCCCCACCCAAAGCTAGTAGAATTTCAAATAATTTGATAAATAAACCAGAGTAGCACACACAAATGAGAAAGATGTTGCCTCCCAAATCCAAAGAGACCTGTCAGGCTTTGTTGGAATCAGGGTTGTTGGACCAATTGCAATAACTTTTCCTTTACTTTAGTACAGTATCTTGACATGCCCCATGCTATTGAGCCGCTATAAATTTCCCTGACCTGGAAGGTGCCTGAATTTTTCTCAGGATAATTTCCCACCTTCTAGAATACTGGTGTGGCACTATGGGTTAATGCGGCACACTGCAAAGCCATTTGAACTGCAAGGCTAGCTGTTCAAGCCCACCATCTGCTCCTCAAAAACCCTATCCAGGGTTGCTATGGGTCAGAACCGACTCAACAGCACTTCACAACAACAACAACCAGTGTGTAAATGCTTAATCACCAAGTCTAGAATCATTGATATTTATTCCTTAGTATGTTATCAATTTAATGAACCAATGTAATGACGTGTGGTAGGTAAAAGAGATCAAGGTCTCTATGGATTAAGAGCTAGAGAATTGAAGTACCTCTGAAGTAATACAGTTAATTTGTATTTTCAGCCTTGCCAGATGAAGGCAAACTGCTTCTGGTGAATCTTCGAAATAGGAATTGAGAAAAAAAGCATTGGCCAGAAAAATAGCTGCATGCCAGGTGCCAAGAGATGTATGAATTGCTCAAGCTGTGAAACAACATCTGGAGCAGGCAATGCCTCAGGCATCATCTCACCAGGAAACCGTTTGGTTAGTTTTATGGAGTGTGAGCAGAAGGGATAATAGTTTTACTGATAATGGATCAACAGACAAAGATAGAGTAATCTCTTCAGATGGGAGGGTGGTGTTTTGAGTAAGAGTTATTCCACAGTATTAGGGGCT